GTGCACCCCTGGACCTCAACCGCAAGGATCCGATCGCAGTGTGCACCGCTGGACCTCAACCGCAGGGATCCGATCGCAGTGTGCACCGCTGGACCTCAACCAGATAGTTTGCCAGATAAAATCCACAAACACACAATCACAAACACACGACCGCAAACGCGCAACCACAAACACACAACCACAAACACAATCACAAACTCACAATCACAAACACAATCACAAACACACAACTACAAACACAACTACAAAGACACAATCACAAACACATAACCACAAACACAAAACGACAAACACACAACCACAACCACACAACCACAAACACACAATTACAAACACAATCACAAACACGCAACTACAAACACAATCACAACCACACAACTACAAACACAACTACAAAGACACAATCACAAACATACACACAACACACAACCACAGACACACACAAACACACAACCGCAAACACACAACCACAAACACTCAACCACAAACACACAACCACAAACACACAAACACACAACCACAAACACACAACCACAAACACATCCACAAACACAACCACAAACACACAACCACAACCACAAGTACAAACACACAATCACAAAGACACAACCACAACTACAAACACATAATCACAAAGACACAACCACATCCACAACTACAAACACATAATCACAACCACTACCACAAACACAACCACAAACACAAACACATCCACAAACACACAACCACAAACACAACTACAAACGCACAATCACAAAGACACAACCACAACCACAACTACAAACACACAATCGCAAAGACACAACCACAACTACAAACACACAATCACAACCACTACCACAACCATAAACACACAACCACAAACACACAACCACAACCACAACACAGCAGACAACCACAGCACACAACCCGAGGACCCACAAACAACATTGAGAACTACAATACTAACGACTATGGCAACATGCCCCTCACTATGGCATCAAGACAAATGATTGAAATGTCATGGTGAGGATCACTCGAAGTAAAGTAATTTTCCATACGAAACCTGCCGGTCATTCTCAGAACCAATAATGAGAGACGGAGCCCTTGTTGAAGCGCTGCAGGAGCCTTCCGAGGCGACCACCCCGCAGGCGACCACGCCACAAGTTCCGACACCTGCGCCAAGAGGTGTGTTGAGCAGCTTGATTGAAAGTTGGATAAAGTGCAAATGGGTCAGGTGTAGTGATGCAGGAAGGGTCACAAGGTTTGACGGAATGAAATTTCCAGGATATCAACAAATCAGATGTTAGGTGAGCGTTGGTTTGTGCATTCATGTATAATCATGTTTGGAGCGTGCAGCGTGTTGCCCCTGCACCCCACCGTTTTCAGTGTTCACCCGACTTTGCTATTGTGGCTGGTTCCCTCACTTGCCGATGCAACCCTCAGACTCATGTTGCTCATCTTTGCTCTAAGGAATTCCAGTTGGTTTGGAACTGGATAAGACCCCGACTCCTTCACGGAGCCCTGGTCAGGTGTGGATGGGAATTGTCCAACCAGCACTGCAGCGCGGAAAGGGGGGATACTCAAAGACTCCCCAGAATCAAAGGCTAGTGAAAGCCCACAGCTTCAAAGAACCCCCCAAACATATCCAAACATTAAATAGTATATCCAGGCGTTGCTGCATGGTTCACTTGACCTACTTCTGATGAATGAATTCATCCGCCTAGCCATTTGCTTGTGCCGCGATTGCCACTGGCCAAGTCCAGGAGACTGCAAGTGTGTTTGTGTGTGTGTGCGTGTTCCAAGGTCAGTCACTCTTGCTTCCCCTGGCCATTTTACTGAGCATTGAGATCCATAATCCATCCAACCCCCAACATCACCTTCAAGTGGTATTAGGATATGCTTGGATCAAAACACGGGTGCTTGGAGCAGCTCAGAGTGAGGAGCGCCACTCCGTCCACATGGCTGATCTCGAGCCAGCTCTGAAGCGTGCAAGGCTGGGAGGAACAGTGGTTTGTGGTTAGTCTTTTTGCAACAGGGCTGCCAAGTCTTAAAATCATTTGTCAAACACAGGTGCACAGGGTGAGGTCAAGTTACCACATGCTACTGGCCCCTTGATTTCAAGACAATCGCCTCCCACAGTCTCCCAGGCTCGAGGGACTTGGCACACAGACAAGGAATGCATCAACATTTCCAGCTGCTGAGCTGAAGCTTTCCTTCGCGTGGACAGACACACGGAACCGCATATAGCCTCCAACCTAATAGCAACGGCCTCCAAACTAATAGCGATGGCTTCCACCCTAATACCGATGGCCTCCAAGCCATTTGTGATGGCCTCCAACCTCAACCTACAAGCAATGGGCGATGGCCGTCAACCTAAAAGCAATGGCCCCCAACCTAATAGCAATGGCCTCCACCCGCACAGCGCTGGCCTGCAACCGTAACCTAATAGCAATGGCCTCCAACCTAATAGCAATGGCCTCCAACCTAGTAGCAATGCTCTCCAACCTAGTAGCAATGGCCTCCGGCCTAATATCAATGGCCTCCAACCTGCTAGCGATGGCCTCCAACCTAATAGCGATGGCCTCCAACCTATATAATAGCAATGGCCTCCGACCTGATAGCGTGGCCTCCAACCAAATAGCAATGGCCTCCAGCCTAATTGCGATGGTTTCCTACCCAATAGCCATGGCCTCCAACCAATAGCCATGGCCTCCAACCTAATAGTAATGGCCTCCAACGTATAAAAGCAATGGCTCCCAATAGCGACGGCCTCCAACCCAATAGCAATGGCCTCCGTCCGGCCTAATATCGATGGTCTCCAACCTGCTAGCGATGGCCTCCAACCTTATCGCGATGGCCTCCAAAATTGTGTTGGCCTCCAACCCAATAGCAATTGGCTCCAACCTAAAAGGGATGGCCTCCAATCTAATAGCAATGGCCTCCAACCCAATAGCGATGCCTCCAACCTGATAGCAATGGCTTCCAACCTAATAGCAATGAGCTCCAACGTAATAGGAACGGCCTCCAACGTAATAGCAATGCCCTTCAACCTAACAGCAATGACCTGCATACCTAATTGCGATGGCCTCCAACCTAATAGCAATGGCCTTCAACTTACTAGCGATGGCCACCAACCTGAAAGCGATGGCCTCCAACCTGATAGCGATGGCCTCCAACCCAATAGTGATTGTCTCTAACCAAAAGCCATGGCCTCCAACCTAATAGCGATGGCCTCCAACCGAATAGCACTGGCAATGACCTTTAACCTAATAGCGGTTGCCTCCAACCTAATAGTAATGGACTCCAACCTAAAAGCAATGGCCTCCAACCTGATAGCGATGGCCTCCAACCTAAAAGCAATGGCCTCCAACCTATATAATAGCCATGGCCTCCAACCTTATAGCGATGGCCTCCAACGTATTTGCCATGGCCTCCAACCTATAGGGATGGCCTCCAACCTTATAGCAATGGCCTCCAAAGTATTTGCCATGGTCTCCAACCTAATAGCGATGGCCTCCAACCTAAAAGCAATGGCCTCCAACGTGTTTTCCATGACCTCCAAGCTAATAGCAATGGCCTCCAACCTAATAGCCAATAGCGATGGCCTCCAACCTTATAGCAATGGCCTCCAACGTATTTGCCATGGTTTGCCATGGCCTCCAACCTAATAGCGATGGCCTCCAACCTAATCGATCATCGTCGAACCTAGGAGATCACTGGACTTTGGGCTGTGACGGCCTTATTGACAAAAGGCGAAGCCGCTCCTCTAGTGGCCTAATGATCAGAAAACGGGGTGCACAAAATGATTCAGCACTTGAGTACGATGCATTGGCAGACGCTTGCTCAGGTGAGCATTCCAGGAGATCGTTGTTATTTGTTCCGATGGCGACAAGCCACAGATGACAGGCAGGGAGCTGACAGCTTGAACAATTATGATTGATACTGTACCGGGCTGGCTAGGCATGAAATATGCAGCATACAGGTTGGTGGACACTGTTCGGTTTCCAAGAGCTGCTGCAGCTCAGGTGCTTTGAAGGAATTGAGCTGGGCGTGGGAGCCATCAAAGGTGGCCATATTGCGAGGGATGGGCGCGTGGAGTGGTGCACCCAATCTCAGCGATGGCAAGGCCAACTTGACCCCACAGGACCGGCTGTCACATGAGAGTTGGCGCACTCTTCTGATCTCTTCAGTACCTTTTGCTCAGGGTCCTTAGTGCTTGGGATGAATGCAATTCACGATCGTTCATAATGATAGCTGCACAATTAATGAAGCAACGAAAAACATCTTTGTGAGGATGGTGCATCAGAGATGGGCACTACTTCAGCATAGCCAGTGGGGAATGTTTGGGGGAGTTTGCCGCAATGCGGCAAAGGGAAGCAGAAGCCGTGGCACCAATGGAATCCTGCACCAACAGGCCGAGCATGCTGGGAACTTGCTGAAAGCTCCCCAATCCAAGAATTACGTATATACAAACGCTCACCATTTTCACGCACCAGTGTGCCACCACAGCTTTGTAGTTGGGAGTGGTTGGGCAAGGATGAGCGGCTGTTTCAACGCTCTCCCCAGTGGCCTGATGTGTTAACATTGCAAATTTGCCACTGTATGCAATGTTTTGTCCAACCCCGCCAAACAGTGATGTTCATCGATTTCACAATATTGTGATTTCCACGACGTTGTCATGGGGTAGGGTGTGTGGGGGGATTCGGCGGGGCCAGGATAATGAGATTTGGTTGGACTTGCTTCCAAGATGATGCTATGGAGACACACACGCACACGTGCACGTTGACATCCTCCACAACATTCCGGAGTTTCAGCTATTTCGCATAGCATTGTCTTCATTTTCACAACATGGTCATCGCTACAACGCTCCCACCCCCTGGTGACAACATTGCGTCAATGACGATGTGTGCGAAGTCGATGAAATGCACATCATTTGCAGTGGCATGTTTGCTGTGTGAACACATCAGAAAACACGAGGAGAGCGTTGAACAAAAAAAAAACGCTGGCCTTTAGCCCATCGCCGCGTTGTTGTGTTTTTCTTGGCCCCAAGTTAGGCATGCTTGGATGCTTGGGTTTGTTGAGGACAAAGCCACTTTGTCAGGTCCAACGCGGAGTTCCAAGATTGGGCAGATGGCCTTTTCTTTTCCTTGGACCGCGAGGGCAAGGAGCAGCTGTTAGACGCTGACGGACAGCAGGCAAGATGTGCAGCACCTCAAGCCATGGAATTTTGTTTCGAGCCGAACATCCTAAGCGCGAGGTGATGATGGAATGGGAGAAACCCTACGTGGAGAAGTGTGTGGATGAATTGCAGATTACCAGTGCACCTTGCCCATCAGTGATTTTGAGGTGTTTCTTGCAGCCAAAACAGTGGCCTTTGTCAACTCCACAGCTCAAAATTGACAAGCGATTTGAGTTTGGCGTGCCCGATTTGTGGCCTCAGAACTCTGAGGAATGTGATGTTCTGGAGATTGGTTTTGGATGCGGATACAGCGCCAGCCGCATTCAGCGCTTCCAGCCACGATCCCACACCATCATTGAGTGCCGCTTGTTTGGAGACGCAGTTTGTCCACAAGGACTTACTGTATAAACTAGGTGCCTCCTTTCAATTCAGTGAAAGTCTTTGAGGCAGCCCAAGGCCCCAGGTTTGTTTTGAAAAACCTGCATTCTCAATCGAAAGGCTCTGAAGTGGTGCTTGAACGTTTGAAGCAGTGGGCTGCCTCAAGGCCCAATGTCCGGGCACCCAGGTAGGTACTGTACTGGGATGCTTTGTGGCTTTGTGGGATTCGCCTCCCAAATCAACAAAGCATCTCACCTAGTGGACCCGGCTACCAGCCAGTTTAACCAGGACCAAAGATCCTGGATTCCTAGTCTGTTTTTTTGGGAAGATGTTCCTGAGTTTGACTGAAGTTGTTTTGGGGGTGCGTATGAAGAGCAGTGGCTCCCACAAATGATTGAAATGACAGCTCATCTCATGAGGTGCATATTGTCGCTGGCACTTGGCAACAGCGCTTACCCCACCTGGGCGTGTGAGGTCCCCAGCATGGGTTCAAATTGCATGCATATCGCATACAGCATACATACATTTACTGGGCCAATGAATGTTGGTGTTCGCTTTAGTTGGTGCGCTAGTAACAATTGCGCTCGCCACTTGGCATGAGGATTGATAGACCAGGGCTGACGAGCCTTGCATCGCCCTTGGAGGTTCATCCGCCCAATGTGCTTTAAGCCTGGCTGAGGTTTGACTGCATATTCTTTGATGATTATGGCCAACCGGGCATTTCAGACAGAGATGCTTGAGACAACTTGGGCACCAGCTGGGTGCGGTTTCGAACTGAGAAAGCAAGGGTACCAGGCACGGTCCTCATCATCTCAAAAAGAAGCGAAGCTTGGGCATTTCAGGGGGACCAACCACACCAACATATACTTACTACGTAGTATAGTGACCTACCAGTCCTGATTGCTTTTGTTTATCAGGATGAAGCGTCACTAAGGAGATGCTTCTGAATTGCCCCAATGAGCAGTATAAGGAGATCTATACTGAATCTCCTACACATTTTCACGCGTCGCTTGGGTTTGGGTTTGCTGAACCTGTTGACCGCAGGTGTCACCCTTCAAGATCATCGATCCGTTGCAGTTTGCAAGTATAGTACAGATCAGAGACTGGATCCCCCGAACGAGGTTCTTGGACATCGCCTTGCAGTACCATTCTCGTGACTAGTTCGCAAGAATTTGGTCGTGAAGCGTGCAAACTCTGAACTCTCTTGACATCTCTTGACACCCAGCCTGCAGCATGCTGCTGTGGTTCCAGAGGTCGTGGCAGCCGGATCTCTGGGTACTTGGCATCTCGGAATCATTGGCCTTGGATGTGGTGTTGAGACTTATCACTCATTTTCTATTTGGACGGTTGAATGGTGGGACATTTTATGTTGTCCGCCAAGAGCGCCTTGAAGAAAGTTTCGTCTGGAGGTAAGCCCCATTGTGGTGGACCGGGATGATGTGGAAATCACCTATGGGTCTTTTGACGTGCATCCACCTGAGCATTGCAACTACTACTTTCGCCAGGGCCCTGGGTTTTGGCACCGATCGCGGTTTTTGTGTCCGTCTCACCATCTCGTATCGCTGAGGCAATGAGGCGGTGGTTCCCGTTTTTTCCAAGAATCCTGGGCGAGACAAAAGGGGTTTTGGGGTTCTCCTTTTTGCCGTTGTTACTAGTAGTTTCTTACTGCTATATAGTAGTAATGCCCTTGTTGCTAGTAGCGATGCCCTTGTTACTAGTAGGGAGGAATGTCTCAAGAAACATAATTTCGGCCTTGAGACGGTACCACAGTATGATGAATGTAAGATGTTGGCACCTTGTTCCACAGGTTTAAGAGTTGAGACGTGGGGCAAGATCACATCCGGGGTAACGGTAAGCATATACTAATAATTAGACTATATTTACACATAGCCCAAGCGTTAGATATACTATATTTACACATAGCCCAAGCGTTAGACGCTCATTCAACGTCCCCTACTGAGTCCAGAATTGATTTCTGGAAATAACTTCACCAAGGTTAACATTTGCTGGTGAGGGGGGCACTTGAGAAGGTGAAAAATAAATTAACATCATGAAATGTTGATTCTGCAGTTTTGTGATATATAATCAGATACAATTAAATTGAAGTTTGATGAGATGTGCTTGAACATATTATTATAGACAACACATAATACAGCAGAATACAAGAAAGACATATAATGACTACATTTCATGTTCATGATGGTAGGTCAGTTGTCAACGTGTCCTTGATTTGTGGCTGCTTTGTGTGTTGCGCATTTCAAGCACGGATCAACAATAAGAAGAACATAAGTAATTCAAGGTACCTCAATTAATTATATAACCCATTCGACCCCCCGTCAGGATTAATTGTCTTATAACTGTTTGCTTTAGTTTTGTAGATTTGGCAGATTTGCACCCGTTTCAAGGAGTCAAGTAATTTGCCTACCCCACCTCAAGATATACATCACTGTAATTAATTGAGAAGGCTCAGGGGGGGTCCTAGCTAGGATAGGGGCTATCTATACACTACGAAATATGAAAATTATTCCCCCAGTGCCGGTTAGAAGCGTTCAAGATGTAAACGAACTGATCCCTTTCTATGTGAGTGGGAGCCTTTAAAAGTCCAGGACTGAGATACACAGCGAAGCAAGCACGCGGAGTCCCAGTCCTGAAGAATGTGCTGAGCAGTAAAGGCAGGAAAACAGGGTAGACTCGACTCGATGAATTGATTTGTTTTGTAATATGTGCTGGTTTGATTTGCGGCAGGCAAAGCTACTTCTTTAGGGCTACTGGCATGTCCGAGAGTCAGGTCCCATTCACCCCCATTTGTAGTCAAGTGGCTTCTGATTGGAGCTCGCGGCTAACTTCTAGCTCGGATCTTGCGCCTGCGAGGCCTTTGGATGATGCTTTGCCTTGTACAAATGTGTTCCTGTCTCGTCGCCCTGGAGGATGAGCACCAGGTGAAAGATTTCAACATTAGCATGTGGGAGGCGGCAGCAGCAAGTTAGCGCGTCCATCCGTCAATGGAACTGGAGATTCCCACCAGACCACAGATTAGCATTTTTATTGTATGGAGGGGGGACATTATTATATATATATATATATATTTGGTCACGCTATGTTGCTTGCAAGCTCTCACTGTTCACCCTGTTGTTCGAATGCCGCAGCTGGTTTTGCATGGGCAAGTGGCCCTTGATCAGATGTCATTTGACTGCAAAACTAGCGCAGGCATACCAGCCAAAAAAAGCTGCCTTGGGGTGAAGCAGGTTTCGTTTGAATTCTAGATGCAAGCATTTGAAGGGCAGTGCTGCCCAAGTTTTAATAGCCGATGAGGCACATCCCACAACATTCAGTGGGATTAGCTTCTGGCTGGGTGCTACCTGTGATTTTGCCAGGACATACTGTGCAAAAACATCTTTAGAGAGAAACCGTGGAAGCTGCAGAGGAAGGAGGTATTTGAGAACCTTTTTCACAGGTGTGTTGGCACGGTCCAAGTCCCCTTCAGGCAGCTACTAATGGTGGGTGGGTCGGTAAAATGTTCCGGTTCAATGTCTGGTATAGGCCCTAGGCATCTTCCAATGGAACCTTGACCGTAAACCTTGAGGACGTAGATTTTCGACTGATAAGACATGTCAGGATCCTTGGATTCATAACAGTTTTTTTGATGTTGTGCTATTTGTATAGTTATTTTTGAGCCTTGTTGCTCTCAATCCATTTGGACGATACCTGGAGTCTGCTAGCTTCAGGCCAAGCGCAAGTTTCAACTGTACAGGCGCCCGGCCGTCAGCCTACACTCTCATCTCTTGCCTTGGCCACCAGTGCGAAGTGAAAAGTGAAGCTGTGGCAATCGGAAGGTAATTGAGCGCTCGCACGCGCGCGCGCACACAGACACACACGCACGCACATTTTTGTTTGTGTGTGTGTGTGTGTCACGGTGTGTGTTTGTGTGTTGCATAGAATCGCATGACCAACCCCTACAAACTACCTTTACTTGGCTGCATCATCCACATGAACGGGGGGTTGCACTTTAGCTTGGGGTTGTGGGTTTAGAGTTTAGCCAGCCTCGGAAAGTTGGGCTCTGGGGGTTCGGGGTTTAGGGCTTAGGGTTGACAAAGGCTTTTGCGCAGACACAATGTGCAGATATGTTGACTCCTGTGCATGTACAATGCACACGTTGTGCAAACTGAGAGGTTATTCCCCAAACAGCTTTGCTGTGAGGGGTTCTCAATTCTTGCATTGAAACGATGCTGGGCCAAGATGATACACCCTTTGTCTCCCCTTGTCTCCCACGGCGTGTCTGGATGCTGCTGCTGCTGCTGCTGCTACTACTACTACTACTACTACTGCAACTACAACAACAACAACTACTACTACTGCTACTACTACTACTACTACTACTACTACTACTACTACTACTACTACTACTACTACTATACTACTATACGACGACTACGACGACTACGACTACTGCTACTCCTACTCCTACTGCTGCTACTCCTACTCCTACTCCTACTACTACTACTACTACGACTACCACGACGACTACCACTACGACTACGACTACGACGACGACTACTACTACCACTACCACTACCACTACGACTTCTACTACTACTTCTACTTCTACACTACCCCCCTTTCGCAACACTTGCATCAGAATTCCAACCGATCCATTCATCAAACCCTGGCATGCAACGCAAAACCATGTATACCCAGCGTCACTCACTATATGAGCCGACAAACCACCGGAGGCCCATTGCAGCTTTGATTCTCCGCAAAGCTAAAAACACGTATATACAGTCAAAATTCTCAAGTCAACATCAAAACAAAGCAAAATCATCTCAGCCCAGCATCCAGAAATGCCTTGGGAGACAAGGGGGGATATGGGGAGACAAAGTTTCAAAGGGAGACAAAGCAGAATCATCTCAGGCCAGCATCCAGACATGCCATGGGAGACAAGGAGGGACAAAGCAAAGTGATCCCAGCCCAGCACCCAGACACGCCATGGGAGACAAGGGGAGACGAGACAAGGGGGGACGAAGGGAGACCAAGCAAAGTGATCGCAGCCCAGCATCCAGACACGCCATGGGAGACAA